CCGGTGTTTGCCATCGGGGTTGGGTTTTCGTCGCTTGGCAACGACGTTGTAAAACAAGCCGCCCCCCCCGGTGTTTGCCATCTGGATTGGGTTTCGTCGCTTGGGCAACGACGTTGTTAAACAAGCCAATTCACTTCGTGAACTCGGCAACCAGGTTACCTCCTCCACCTCTTGCCCCCTCGTCCGCGAAGAAGCACGGCTTGAAGTGCGCTTAGCGCCGTCTTGACGATCAACACTCGGTGAAGAGAATCGGCCCAACGTATTCGAAGCCGAACCGTATGAAGCTCTCCTAGAAATTGACACACGCAACAAAGAACAAAGAGCGTTCCATGAGAATGTCAGTTTGTTTGATATCGCGGGTTCACACATAAATAGCTTGCGACAAACCACCAGCGCGTCGACTGCCGAAGAGCAACGCCAGAACACACTGAAAATGTGGAAACATTATTAAAAACACTGGAAACGCGTCATGAATAAAACAAACGAGAGTGTTGGACGTTCAGCAGAGCTTGCACGTCCAATGAGCGCTGACAAATTGCCCACAGTACACCAGGGGAAACAGGGTTAGAAGAATATGCCAAATACAACAAAAACCCTCAGCCCCATAGAGCTTAGTTCACATATCGAAAAAAAGCAACACACGTGTTGCTGATGACGTACAAGTTTTTTCACCGTCGCCGACCTTCGCACAAACGCCTTTTCGAAAAAAGTCTCGCACACGGCGGAGGTACGGCAATACCATCGTGGTCGGGGTTGCTCTTGTACCGAAGTGTAGCGTGTGGTGCCCATCTTCGTCTTGATCCACGACGACGTACTGCTTGAGCACCTTCGAACGATGCTAATCCATACCGTCAGAGGGGGGAGAGTGGTTCTTAGCGGGCAAGGGGCGGGATGGATGCACCAGAGCAAGGGCGACAGTAGATGGACTGGAATTTGCGCCGGAAACAGCAAGTAGGAGGGCGAACAGGACATTAGCAGCAGCTATCCTTGCTGAAAAAACGTACATGGGGATTAAAAAATTCAAGCGTCATTACCACAGGGAAGCGGCGTTAACACTTCAAGGACAATAACTATTCGTCCGCGGCGCTGTTGCCTGGTGCCATGACATGTTGGCTAATTGCACTCTATCGGTTCACCTTGCGCCGCCCTCCTGTCTTGCACTATAGGCCGCCGCTACAACATGCAAGACCCTCAAACCAACAGCAGTACCGATGCGCGTGCGTCAAGATTCTCTACTCCTTCCACAAGCAATGCACCGCGAGCAATAGTTACCTGCACGTCCCCTCGTCCCTTCCCTATATATATATATACATATTTTTTTTTTGCATACGCTTTGGTTGAGTTTCATAAATGAACGAATGAAGAGCTTCCGAAAGAAGGTGCTCCATCGTTCCTTCCAGTCAAATTCAAATAGGAGCGAACATACTCAAACGTGCTTAGAGCTATGTCGGAGTGATCGACGATGTTATGCACGACTCTGACAGCAGGTGCGGTAGCAGACCTTCATCGGTTCTCGGTGGACAGAGGTGTCGGGGGTCGGGACATGAACTTCCCATCATACTTTGTTGTTCAAATCACTGGGCACCATTTCTGAACGAAGTCTTGCATTTACTGCGAAGGGCTCACTTAGCCCGACCGTACCTGAGCTATAGGGTGGTGCGCTTGCATCGGTGGACCTGATCGAAGGTCACGCTTTGCATGGCCTCGTCCTCCGACACCGGAATGCCGTGGTTGGCTGGCTCCAGGACCTTCGAGACTATGACGGTACCACGCCCACCCATGGCGGTATCCGTCTACATAGTACGATACGAGGGGGGGGGTGACACGCCACGCATGAGGACGCACATGCATATCCCTCCGCTCTGCTATGCATACTACTGGTGCCCTCTTCGCTTCGCATCGGTGGCGGGGCTTTGGGGGACCCGCTGAGACCGCCTTTTCTCAGTTGTTGCCGTTGTCTTGACATCGAAAGAAAAAAACTTTTCGATCTCTGACACGCCAAATTCTCAGGGGTTACTCGGTATTTTGTATTTTACGCCCAAAAATGCTTTCAAAGAGGTTCACCGAAGTTCGGGAGGAAAAAGAAATAAAAAAAGGGTGGTGAGAATAAAAATATGGCCCAGAGGAGAATCGAATCCACTCATCTCACGGCACAGCAGTTGGTTGCATAAGATACCACTCCCCCTGGACCGATTTCCAAAGCCTGCCCATTCCACGCAGAAGGAGTGACGAGGCCGGAAATGGCGGCATTGGAAGTGTCTGGTCTTTAGCTTTTCGAACAATGTATCCTTTGATTTTTGGAATCGTCTTGGTCGTGGGACAATGTAAGTTGAAAATTGGTCAAGGGGGTGTGGTATCTTGTGCAATCTACGGTTGGTTACCGTTAATTATTCTGCTTTCAACACGATATATTGTGAATACGTGTGAACGACCTGTGTCAATCTAGTAACCCATCTAAAACATTTGGGTGTGGTGAGGGCTGGGCGTTGGTTGAAGCATGTGGACGGTCGACGCGGTCGATGCTATGCATGTGTGTGGACAGGTCAGATACAGAAGACATGCTGGATTGATATTGTACGTTGTTCCACGCAGTGGAAGAACACGAGCGCCCTACAAACAAAAAAAGGGTTAAAAATAACAAACTGCCTACCCGCCCTCCCAAAGCTGTTTTATGAGGCTGGGCGCTTACTGACGTCTCCGGCACAGTCCCCGCTCTGTACATGGTGAGGAAGAGCTGCATACACGCGGTAGGCCGAGAGTCGTTGGGTGTGCACGACCAACTGCTGGTGTCTGAGCGTACATGCAACTGCTGGTGTCTACACTACAGCACGTGGCGAGTTCGTGCCTTTCCCAACGGGGACACATGCATAGGGATACACAGCTACACAATACACAATGTTCCCTCAATGCATCCTTATTATGCTACCATGCAGATGTAACTGGAGGGGAATCGCTTACCTAATCAGCAACTGCTGCCGGAATGTCGCCCTCTCTTCTCCACGCGTGCCGTGGAAGATCGTCTTGCCGCTCCAGCAGCAGTGTCGTGCGGCGGGATTAGCTCGCGGCGGTTGCTGTGCTCCGAGTCCGAGGATCTAGAGATAGTATTGCTGTTTGCCTTGGTTACAAAAGGAATGACACCAGCCTGGTCACTATTCGTCTTGGCAGGCTGCGGCCTCTGGTCGCCTGTGTCAAGGCTAGCTAGTTCGTCACACGAGGGCGATTCAGGGCCAAACAAGCAATAGGGGGTTCGCTGGTCCGGATGCCCCCCACCCCCGCTTCCCATCCGTCTGGCGGGATCCATGACGGGATCTGAGATCTGAGAAGTTGTTGTACGCTGCACAATGTAGCTGGTACACACATAGCACTCGGGAATCCCCGCACAAACTCACACAAAAGCCCAAATTGAATAGTGTATGCGTTCATCTCGTATGCACTGTGCCAACGTATCCTGGTAGGGTTGTGTATCGGAGCCGATATGTTTGATATAATCGGACGATATATATCGTATCGAATATCTATTGTCAGCCCCGATATGTTGGGCGATATATTTGAGGGGGCTCCGTGAATCAAAAAGGGGGCATATGTTACAACAGTTACACGTTTGGACCCCCTATGAGGCCTCGCTGTTGCGGCGGCTGTTGCTTTGGACCACAGAAGAGCAGACCGAACACCGAACACTAGCCGAACACCCCATGAGTACCCCACCAGCAGCGGACCAGGATGGAGGGTCCTCCACGCCGGTGGTTGCAGTAGAACCAGTTTCAGACACAGAGACAGCAGAGCGTTCGAAGAAAAACGAGCGGGCTGCGACCGGATATCTGCGTCTGAAATTGTTGCTGGCCGGGCGGGTGGTGGGCTTTGGGCTTGGGTTGAGAAGAACTTAGGCTGTGTTGTAGAAACATGACAAGATTCAGAGAGAGAGGGAGGACGAGGGAGGTGGGAACGTGTTTTGGAAGCAGCTTCGTGAAGACGTTCAAACGTGGTCGTGTTGTACCACCCACACCAACCAAAGCTTCGAAAGAGAACTGACTAATCATCTGTCATTTATTGTCGATGGTTTCCAAGTTTTAGCGTTTTCCAGTAGTTTTCAGGATATCACCCACCAAAAAATGGCATGGTCGAAGTGCCCCAAAATCACCCAAAAAATATGCTCTAGTGAAGCCAAATCGCGTAAAAAAACGCCTCCGGCGGGGCGCCTCCAGCGGGGCCCCTCACCAGCCGGGGGGCCGAGGGGGGGCTCGCGAAGCGAGCCCCCTAACCACGGCTCGATTCGCTCGCCGATATTTTTTCGATATATCGGCTTCGCCGATATATCGAAAAAATATCGTTATATCGGCTGCGCCGATCTCTGATACATATTCTATCGTTCGGCTGCGCCGATACACAACCAACCCTATATCCTGGGCTTGTCTATCTACATGTCTGCGTTGGAGACGAGTTGCGTTTTGTCCAGCCGGAAAAACAAATTCAGCTATCCCGAACCGTCAAACCGACACAATCTACAGCCAGGAGGTCTGGCCTTCGATTGTGACTGCCTCCCAACCTGTATCATCCGTGCTTTCACAACCAGGAGGTCTGGCCTAAGGTTGTGGCTGCCCCCCCAACCTGCGTGAACGGTGCTTGCACGACCAAGATGTGTGGCCCAACATTGTGGCTGCCTCCCAACCTTCCGCATTCATTCGCGCTTGTACCACCAAGACATCTGGCCAAGGTCGAGGCCTCCTCCCAAGCCCCCTCTACAACTACCTTGTGGATGCTCACAACCTACCCACAACTTCCCATCTGGCCACCCGTGAAGGCTGAGTCTTACGGCTTGATTTTTCAGGGTTGGATTTGGGGGCGGGGGGTCCTTTTCTGAGCCCAAAAATTTATTTAGCACGGGTAGGAAAATGGCAAAATCCAACAGCCCAAAATCCCACAGCCCAAATTCCAACAGCGATTCCGGCAGGTCTGTTCGAAAATTGACCTATGTGTCAGGAAAATCGTGCGTCGAGACCACCAGTAGTCGGACACGGTTCGACCTTTGAATACGATTGCAGCAACTAGTCTGCGTAGCAGTAGAAAAGGATCCATCTCTCCTTGGCATGTATTTTCTTGTTCTAGAAATATTCCGGAAGCATGCTAGGTCAAGGTTGACCGGGACATCCATGTAGAACGTGTGTAGCTTCTGGAAGCCTTCTGGAAACTTCTGGTTCCTCCTGTAGCTTCTGGAGGCCTTTCTGGAAACTTCTGGATCCTTCTGTAAGCTTCTAGAAGCGTTCTAGATCTAGGTTGCAATTGATACTCTTCTTCTAGAACGTAGGAGGGCTTCCAGAAATTATTCTGGAAGCATTCTGGATCTTTCGTGTGATTGGCATATTTGTCCGGTATTCGAGAAGAAAGAGTGGTGCAGCTCTAAGCTCGTCCATGTCGAGGAAAACTGTTACAACGTAGTCAGGCACAGTTTTCCATAGGTGCGACTGCGGCAACTAGCCTTCCGTAGACATAATACAGAAAGAAGAGATGGTACTCAGCAGAGAACATGAGCACAGAGTTGTAGCGGAGATAATTTGGCAGGCGAGACTGTATGTAGTTGTTTTATTGTTCCGAACCCCGAAATTCCGGTACTCGGG